ATAAATTGAACCACATATTTAGGGTGTTTGAACTTTATTTTACATCAGATATGAACAGACTGAGATAGATAGATAGATAGATAGATAGATAGATAGATAGATAGATAGATAGCTGCGGGAGACAAGCAAATACATAATCTTTTAAATGAAGAGATCCGACTTTGAAAATCAGTCTTCAAATTTAAAATCTTGGTTTTTATTTAGGTTAGAACACCAATCGCCGATGTTGGATTCTATGCCAACTTTCATGTAAATTCAATGAAAAAAATTCCAATTTTTTAATTTGATGAATTCTTCCAGAAATTTTCCAATATCTTAGCATTGCTGAAACCGTTGACCAGAGAAAAAATGTTGTATAGAATGGCGGGAAACAATTGCATCGGATGAAAGTTAACCGAGAGAAAACGTCGAATGTTGAAAACACACAGATCAACTTCCTTGTTTCAAAAATGATTTTTTTAGTTTGTATTTCAGATGTGTTGATTAGTTAACCTCTCATTTCTGTTCAAGTATTTTTTGTGCAACATCTTCCTTCAAATGTTTCTCCAATTAATCAGTTTTCAATTCCTGGGACTCTCAGAGTGTTCTTTGTTCTTGAACTAAAAATCACCATTAGAAACATCGGCAAAAATTCCTAGCATGTGCTTGCACCATCTGCATCATTCCCACAAGATTCTGTGATCATTTTCCTCAGATTCTTTTGAAAAATGCATTTTAATTCAGTTATGATTTTCTATAGAATAAAGGAAAAATATTATTCTTCCTCGCGCTGTTTCCTAAGAGGAATTAGGCGTTACCATAAAAACAAACAAAACTAAACGGGTTGATTAAACTTCAAAATATTCCTAATATTTTTCCACTATTTAGGAAATACGGTGATGAGAATTCTAGCTAGTTAGATTGATATGAGAAAACCGACAGACAGATAGATATGTGAAAACTTAGATATGAGAAAACTTAGATCGATTGAAATGCGAAAATTTAGATAAATATAAGAAAACTTAGATAGATAGATAGATAGATAGATATGAGAAAAGTTAGATATGAGAAACTTAAATAAATAGATATATATGAGAAAAGTTAGACAGATATGAGAAAACTTTCTGAGACAAAAATAACCCAATAAACTTGTATTATTTCGAATGATTTTTCTCTGTTATCATAGATACAGTATTTGACAAAATATCATTTGTGCATTTTTTGGTATAGACTGGCTTATGCGTTGAATATTGTGTGGTATCAGTTATTGTTCGTTCCTGCTGAACCGGTGCTTCACTACCTTATCCAGGGATTGAACTTGATGACAGTAACACATGTATACCCAACTCCTACACTACCATCCCGAAGAACTTTAGTGGTGTGTTTTTAGAGACTTTTATATTCAATGCCCTATGGTTTTAGACATTATTTTATGATGACGGGTTCGTGCCGCCTTTCATAATTTAGTATGTAATTTATGAGATGAGTAATTGTCAATATACGTTGTATTAAAGCTGATACTTGTATCCGCCAAACAATGGACACCTGATGAATGACCAGTGGCCGAAAAGTGTTATACGTGGGTGTGCTGAAAATGTCATAGGCTAACTATGAAGGAGTGATGCTCAGCTTTTTGGGATGCAAAAGTCATTCTATTTATTGATTATCTTCAAGAGGGCCACACAATCAATGGAGAGTACGATGCTAATTTCCTGAGGTAGTTACGAAAAGGTAACAAGAAAGAGATCTTGTCTCTTCATAACAATGTTCCCGCACCCAAGTCTTAGATTTCAATGGCTATGGTGCATGACTGACTTTGAACTGGTTGATCACCCTTCCTAATCTCTTGATTTGACTATTATCTGTTCTCCAACATAAAAAAAAAAACACTTGGTTGTAAACAAGTATCGCAGTGATGATAACCTCATATCTGGTGTTGATGAATTTTTTGACCAACAGTATTAACGGCCATCTTTGAACAGTCAGATGTTCGTTTACCCGGAATGGAACAATGCAGTTATTAATAAGAAAAACTGAAATGAATGCATGCAAGATTTCACAGCTCTAGCATCACTCCACTGAACTTTTTAGCACCCCTTCGTAAAGTCAGCTTTAAACTCTCTTAACTTTTACCAACAATAGAACAGCATATATGTTATACAAGAAATGAGGCTACATGGACATCGCCCACAGAATCTAATTTTCAATTATTTATTATGTTAAAGTTTTCGTTAGAAAAATAAATTCTGTATTTCCCACTATATAATTCATACACCAAAAATATCTTCTAGAAATCACCCTTCGGTTTATACCCCGATGTTTGTATTTTTTACAATAATATTCACCTTGTACAAGACCCAAGAGCCACTCGAGTTAGAGGGTTACAAAGTAAAAGTTAAGAGGCACAGTTTATGTAATATATTGGGAAGATAACGGTTAACCCAGACTTGAACAGGTTAAGATTGTAGAGATCGGAGAAGCAGCATCTTGGGAGCGATACATGAGAAGAAGCTGTTTGAGTAGAACTTGCATCTCACCAATGGAATATGAAAGGAATAAGTGTGGTTTGTTACAATGTGAGTGGTATGGTGTGTCTTAGTCGTGATGGTTAGAACCGATGTCACTAAGGAATGTAGTTCGTGTGAATACTTCCCATGCATAGAGTAGCGAGAAGCTTGTAATCTTTCACCTGTGAAAAATGGATTTTAGGGTCAGCCAGTTATGTGCCATGCGTGATAAACGCTTAGGCGATCATGCATCTTTCGATACATCACTGACAAGGCAGTTTTTTTTTCCGCAGTAGGTTGCCAATTCTTTCTGCGGTAGAGCAGTTGACATCTAAGGCTATAGAACCCGGTCTGTCCTACTATTTACCCACAGCTGGGAAGAAGAAACGAATTCATATCTTTTCCAAGGGTATTAGCACATAAGTAAATGTAATGGATTCGACTAGAATTCGAACTCGGTTCTCCGATTCGTCAATCCGAGTCGCTATCCATTACTCCAGCGTGCCTCCTGATTTTAGGGTAGAACATAATTAATCGCCTACAAGGACACGGAGACACTTTTGGCGTCTATTGAGGCTGGGAAGTGAAGATTGACCGGACAGCAGTACAATTTCTGCTTGATCTAGCTCTTGTAAAGGATAGCAGGAGTCAGGTACGTACTGGAGCGGTACAGGGAACTGAACATTTTCCCCGCATATTCAGTTATGAATCGTATGAAGGAGTTCTACTCGTGGTTTGGGTTGAGCTTAAGTCCCAATAGGTGCTCAAGACACGAGGGCTTCCTTGAGAGAACCCACCCGTCCATCGGTGATAAGGGTTTTCGAGGCAACTGAATATGACCAGGTCATTTTTTTCTACCACAGAACTGTTAGAGCTCGGTCAGAGGAGAGATCAGATGCCAGGCTTTGGTCATCTAGAGTTTTGGAGATGCACCCGTATACCGGTGTATAATCAAAATAGATATTCACAAATGATCAGAGTATACCGTTAGGTAGATCATTTATATAAAGTAGAAAGAGAGATAGACCGAGAAGCGAGCCTTGTGGGTACGCCTGCGTTGATCACTTGGGCCTCGAAGGACTGGTCGTTAACAACTAGCTTCAGGAACCCGTTAGGAAGGACTTGATAAGTCTCTTGCAGTGATTCCATAGCTGGAGAACTTGTGCAGCAACCGTCTATGCCACACCTTGTCAAAGGTATTTGAAATATCTGTTGTGAACGTCATCAAGGGATAAGTATTGGAAGATTAAACACACCTTTTTGATACCGTGGTTTTCTTATAGCCCCAGAATTAAATATATATTATTATAATTAAATAAATCATGATTGTAAATCAAAATAATATTTTAAAATATTATATTTACGTTTCTATTTGTTTTCCAAATATTTGTTGGCAAATTATCTGCTTTATTTATAGCGAGAAAAGCAGCAATGTGCTCAAACGTGACAGAAAAGAAATACAAATAAAGATAAAAGCAAGTTTTTAAGAAAGATAAGATGTGATTTGTGTTTAACCTAAAATACAATAAAAATATTTGTTCATTGCCTAACTCATTCAGTATCGAAAAAAAACTGAGAGAAAGGACGAGTGGGTGGTATGCCCCATCGAACCGTGTCGTTTCTTTAACTATCTTCAATTTAAGATAGGCCGTGAGATCTTTAATGGCTTCGTTGTTGTTTACTAAACTTAGCTTAGTCGGCCACAAGTTGAAAGAAGTGAAACACCTGGACTTAGTACAGTAAGCGAAATCATCTGTGAAACAAGATTGTTATCTATGCGCTCTGGTGTGTGACTGCAGAGAGTAGTGAAATTTAGGCAAAATTTAACTTTAAAAAAGTGGGTGTCAAATTGATGTTTTTATCTCTACAACAAATATTTCTTTGGTGAGTTCGATCCTCACTGGATGCCCCATACTTTCGATCTTGTGCTACATCTAAGCTACGCTTAGAAAAGCACGGACACCTCGACGTGGTGTTAGAAAGCTTGTCTCGCTAGAACAATTGCGACTGGGTAGTGAGTCCGAGCCACTCTGGGTGCTCCATACCTTTGGCCTTGTGACACATCTGAACCGCGCTTAGAAAATCACCATATGGGTACCCCATACTTTCGGCTATGTGCTACGCACAGAAAAAAAAAAGGAATCTGTGGAGAGCCATGATTGCCTGTTCTGAAAGAGCATGGTATACAATAACCATATAAATTATTCATTGATTGATGTATTTTCTTTTCTTGAGTTGCCGTTTTATATGGTTAGTCTAAAATATAATATTTTTAATTGGTTCATGTCTTTGCAGCTAATTTAAAGACAAGATATTTTTAGACTGTAAGAATTTTTTTGGGCGATAATAATGGTTTAACAATACAAGTCTTACTAATTAACCCATATCTGCGGGAGAGAATAGTTTGATATTTTCCGAATGATATTTGTGCGTAACGAAACCAAAGGAAATTGGAACTCGGCTCTCCAATTAACAATTCCGAGTCATTATTTATACACCACCAGAACATCCAAGACTACAGTACCTGGTATTTCCAAGCAGTCACCCATCTAAGTACTGACCAGGTTCGACGTTGTTTAACTTCGATGATCGTACAAGATCCGGTGTTTCAACGTGATGTGGCCGTAACCATATATAATGTAATATGTAAAGGGCAGAATATTAAAAGATGGATGGATAACTTTTTTTCTTGCAATGGCTTAGAAGATAAAAGCAAATTCGCATAATTTGTGCTTTATTGTTGTTCTTTTGTTAAAAATATTGTCATTCTTTTTGGTTTAAGGAGATTCCTTTTCTAGTTTTCTTTTATATTGATAGATTTTTATTCCTACATCGTCATAAGTTTTTAGTCACTTCACCCCCCCCCCCAAATCAAGGCAATAGACGCCGGTGAAACGTCATAGACAGAATTTATCTTTATTATATAAGGCGCCTGTAATTTTTTACTGTACTAGAGTTATCTCCCTTACACTTTTTTGTGCCGATAATCGTTGCACTACCCTTACATTCATATAAGATCTATCTTCTATCTTCTTTTATGAGCCGTGTCCCTTCAGAATGTGGACGATCATGGCTCTCCACAATTTCCTATCTTTTGTACCTCTTAGTAAATTTTGACTTTTTGCTATCTCTCTTAATCCCTGTTCTGCCATCCATTTAGTTAGGTTATGCGCTGCTTTTATCTCTCCCTCTTGCTTTCAGTATGTCCAGTGAGTGTCAAATTTGCCAAGCCCTCTTTTCATGATTTGTCTCTTTATCATTCAAAGTATAAGTATTTGTTACCATTTTCTCTGGAACTTCATCGATTCTCGCATGTTCAATCCATGGTATTCTCAGCATCCTTCTATAGAACCACATTTCTGTTGCCTCAAGTTTTTCTCCATCTGTGAAGGGTTTGTCTAGCATTCACCTTCATATTGGAGGACTGATATTACATAACAATTCAGTACTGTTTTTTTCTTTCTTCCTTTTTTTTTTTTAATGAAATTTAGTTTCTTAATACTTTGCTTCGCTTTTGAAAGTCTTCTTTCGCTATCCTAATGCGTCTTTCGATTTTGGTGTTGCAGGAACTTCCACAGAAGGTTGTAAGAAAGCAAGAGGAAAGGACTAAATGTCAATTGTAAAAAACGGAATGTCTGGTTATTAAGCAAAAGAAGAGCCCAACCTATGGAAATACCAAAATTGGAATTACAAAAATTACAAGACGTGTACAATTTCTTTAAAATAAAAACACATAAAACTCATTGATTTCAAATCCGATTAAAGAGAAGAGTTGCAAAGAGATTTGCTTGAGTCCTGTCTCCGGTCATCCTCTTCCGACCTTTTTTTTTTATTTTAGGAATTGTGAAGAGCCGAAAAGGAGAGGGAAAATCTTTTAATTTTTTTCTTTTGCGGGGGTGGGGGCAGCTGCTCTATTCGTTGTTAGTTAAGATTTTATATCTTTGTATAATGATTTTGATTAATTAAAAAAAAACACAGCTGCTTTTAAATATTTTAGATCAACATAAAAAATTGTTAACGATTAAGGTAGTGCCTGTGCTTTAAACTGGGTGTGTCTTTGTAAACCCCCCCCCCTCCAACATTCCAAAAAAAAAATAATCTTCTTATGAAATGTTTTTGTTGACTTGGGTTTTTTTTTTATATTCTTAGCTTTTTCATATCTTTCTATTTTTCTTAAATTCTTCTTTTAGTGTCTGCCATATTTTTTTTCTGGCTGCTTCGTTCTCTTTCCTGGTTTTTTTGTTCGAGTTGCGTTCTATTCAATTTACTCGCGTTTTTTTTCTATCTCATTAGAATGGGATTGTGTCGCACCAAGTATTTGTTGTCGCTGTTAGGGCAAATTCCCATCCTTATTGTGCATATTAGCGACATCAGCTTATTCCATTAAGATATCATTTTTCAAATAAATTATTAATAATGTACATCAATTTGGAAATAAATATGTCAGCATATGTTTCTTAACAACACGCACACACACACGCACACGCACGTCCACACAGACACTTACAAGCAGGAGAAAAAAAAGGCCGGTTTAATAAAAAAGATTATTATTCAAATGGTTTTTCTCTGGTGGGGAAACACAAAGAAGCGTTTGCACATTTTGCCTCTTTGTCTGTCTGTCTTTCTTTCTTTCTTTCTTTCTTTGTTTCTTTCTTTCTTTCTTTCTTTCTTTCTTTCTTTCTTTCTTTCTTAGCCGCGTCAAAGGTCAAAATAAGGGGGAGGATTGTAGTGAGGAAATCTCTATTGTGCCACTCCCAGCTAGGTGAGATTATTTGCTTTGAAAATCAACATTCGAAAACTGGCATTTAATACGGGTTTGAACAGCGAGCGGCCTCTAGAGCCAGTAAAAAAATAAATATTACTCAGCCGAGGCACAGTCTGTCTGGCACATGGTTACAATTCAAGGGGCGTTTACTGATGATTGAACTCAGTATATGATTGTGACACTTGCTTGTTAACTTCGATTTAACGGACGAGGCACCCTTAATAATTAAGCTCAGCTTAGTTTGGCACAAGGCTACACTAATAAGAGCACTCAGGTAGAACCGAACCCTATACAAATCATAGCCAATCTTTGAGACAAGCTTATTAACCTTCAGAACTCTGCATTCTTAATATTACTTCTCTTTTTATTGCATTTGTTCAAGGCATCTCAATTGCACTATCCTTATTGTTAATTTCCCTCAAAATTGTTTTCTGTTGCCATAGCAGGATATGAAAACACAACTATAAAATTCAAAAAAATTAAATAAAGGTTAAATGTTACATACAGAATTTCTTAACGTTTGTCAGCATGAAAAACTGAATCAGAAAATGTTCCATACACGTTCTTTGTTTTTGAAATTCCATATCATCTTTAAGAAATAGGCGATGATGGCTCTCCATAGCCTTCTTCTCTTTAAACTGTGTATTGCCATGGATCTTCTCGGGTAAGGTGTTTCTCGTTGCCTTCACCACAGTTATTCTACAATGATTGCCAACAAGGTTAATTGAGCTCAGTCTACTGTTTTATTTAACTCATAGCTGGAAAGGGGGAACGAAATATATATTCATGTCTTTCCCAAGTGCATTAGTACGAAATGAACACAACAGTTTTGGTCGGAATTTGAACCAGGCTCAACGTTTCCTTTTTCCATGTCGGTAAACGTTAAACCACATGAGCATCGCTATGTTATCAAAGTCCTTTGTTAGGCGACAGAAAGTTGGTTGGTTGATTTTGTTCAGCGGCATCTCAACATCTCTATGTTATATACTGTACCTATGAACATTAACGGGTATGTACCAATCCTCATAAATACGTTGGACACTTTAGTTTAAAAGGATTGGGACATACTCATTAGTGTTCATAAGTACAGTATATAACATAGAGATGTTGAGATGCCGCTAAACAAAATCAAATCACTAGCAGTGGTTTACCTACTTCACGTCGCTGGCGAGTATTGTATTTTGCTGATTTTATAAAGATTACCATTTCATTTCCAACCTCCGTTTTGGTTATTCTTCATTCAGTAACCCACTCTAGATTACAACAATCTATAGTTAATTTAATGACGAAATCTAAATATTTTGAATGCTTTTGAATGCCTTCAAATACAAATAAAATTTATTGTTGGCCATTTTGCTATAAATTGTATTGCAGATCATTTGTATTTATAAAGTATTTTTATACTTTCATATAGTTTTGTTTTTATTTGGTGCTTCACAATTTGCCCATTGCTAGGGCCCTAACAGTTGTTACCACCCGGGTCAGGGTAGACCTGGGAACCACGCCAATTAAGAGGTGGTTCAACGTCCCTCAAAACCTCCCGATCAGACGCCTTACTGCTGGACGTAGTTTATCGTCAAAACCAGGACTGCGCAGCAGCAAGGCAAAGCGTTATTAATGGTCTTGGTGATCATCTTGTGATGTTAACGGTATTGATAAGGATTAGCTTATAACAGCACAAAGCCACAAGTATAGGGCACCCAGTGAGGAACAAACTCAGAGCAACAGTAACGCTTAACGGTCTGTGAAACCATTTAGGTGGCCATTAATCAACGGCGAGATGCTCTATCCAGCTGATTTAAGTTTCAAAGCAGCTTTTTATTATTTGTTGCTCTTATTTTTATTAGGAATATGCAAATGTTTCCAGCATATTTTTTATTAGGGATATGCAAAGGTTTCCAGCATATTTTTATTAGGGATATGCAAAGGTTTCCAGCATATTTTTTATTAGGGATATGCAAAGGTTTCCAGCATATATTTATTAGGGATATGCAAAGGTTTCCAGCATATTTTTATTAGGGATATGCAAAGGTTTCCAGCATATTTTTTATTAGGGATATGCAAAGGTTTCCAGCATATTTTTTATTAGGGATATGCAAAGGTATCCAGCATATTTTTATTAGGGATATGCAAAGGTTTCCAGCATATTTTTATTAGGGATATGCAAAGGTTTCCAGCATATTTTTATTAGGGATATGCAAAGGTATCCAGCATATTTTTATTAGGGATATGCAAAGGTTTCCAGCCAAAATCCATTTCTTCCAGAAGCGCTGAGATTTTTGGGTACTTTTGGGAACTCCTAATACTTACATATTATAATTTAAAAAAAGAAGAAAAAGAAAAGAAAAGAATGAAAAACATTTGCGCTTTTATTTCTTGAGAACCGATGCATTATATGCAATCGTTGAAGTAAGGTTTCATCATGAATTTTAAAAATTTAAATACATTTGTAAAAAAATACATATATCATATCCAATTTTAAATATTTCTTCTTAATAATAAATAACATAATGTTAGTTCAATGCAGAATAGTTTTAATTGAGCGATTACGAAAGAAACAGTTTGAAAAGAACATTTATTACGTATTTGGGAAAGAATTTAAGTGAAAATAGGTTTTTCGTTATCAATTGAAATAAAATTCTAAATCATTTTATTTTTATTAGGTGAAATATCATCATCCATTATTATTATTATTATTATTATTATTATTATTATTATTATTATTATTTCCTTTGATTTCTGTTGTATAAACATTTCCTTCCGGGTCCTAACCAGAGAGCTAAGGTCAGAAATGGCTTCAGGAAATTTTCCACTGATCATTTTTGAAAAAAAATATCACACACATTGTACATAGATAAAGCTC